TTAGTATTATGTTTACTACCGTAACGTGGCTTAATCATGTGACCGGAAAATTTTTTGTGGGTGATCTACATAGGTTATTATTCTGTGGAATACGCAAATTGAATTCCAGATTTTTGAGATACCGATACGATTATAAAATTTTTATACAAACAAGATCACATGCTTGAATTCAATACGCCAAGTTAAATTGATAATCTCTGTTTTATTTTAAGAGAAATATCTTCGAATAACTGGGTTATTCAAATTAAAATATCTCGTTATTTATTAAGTTAACATCGGATAAGGACCAAGTTTTTAGCTAGTCAAAATCTTAAAATTGGCCAAAAAGTGCCGAAGGCTGATTTTCCCAAAATATCAAATATATAAATCTGCCATTTCGATCGACTCATCATTCGATATGTCATGTCATTTCAATTACTATCCGATTGCCATTCAACTTATCATTTGAATGGTATATCGAATAATAATCGAATGACAAGTCGATCGAACGGAAGATCGAATGGCAAGTCGATCGAATAGAAGATCGAATGGCATATTATACGACATGTCGAATATCTGAATGAGGAAGTCGATTGCCATTTAAACATGTCGTTAATTCTTACCAGTTTTCGATAATCAAAGTCATTTTAGTCAATTTTATTTTGTACTTCTTTTTTTTTTTTTTAAAAAAAAACAAAAAACAAAAAATTTGAAAGATTATAGATCGTTGTACACAACAATTGAGTTGAGACAAAATAAGAGATAAATTAAGATTTTAAAAAATTTAATTTGTCAATGGCTCAAAATTTAAAATTAGAATAATGACGGGATTGGATAACACTACTTTAGGTTAAAAAGTTTATAAAAAAAAAAATTTTTAATTGTAACGCGTGCATCTGTTGAACGTTACACGTAATGCGTTTAAAAGTAAAACTACAAAACTATGGTTATATATCAGATATATACAGTATATTCTGTATTTCAGTATTACCAAGATTAGATCTGATAGTTATACTAACCATTTTGGTATTTGGGCTGCCGCTGAAACAGTAGTGATTAACTTTAATGATACAGGATTTCGCCAAAATAAAAAGGTTTGATCAGCTTAAGTTATATTTCTTTAATTTGTTGCTAGATATAAAAAAGAAACAAAAAACATAGTATATATCATTTCATTTCTCCAATTTTGCATTGGAATATTATGAACTTTTCATTATGCAATCTCTTTCTTCTTCATCGAAGTATACAGCAAACTTGATTGGAGAAAGAATATATTTTCTTGAAAGTGATAACTTCACAAAATTTTTTTATCTTGACGTTTCATACTCATTTGATACTATAAGTTCACCTTTTACATACCTACCAACGAAACTTCCGAATGAAAGTTTGTCGATCACATCCATTGGCGGTCTTAATAGTACAAAAATATTTATATTTGGTGGTAATGACAGTTACAGTAGCGTATATGCTATCGACACCAATAGTTTTGATGGATCTAACAATTACAGTAGTGTATACGCCGTCAATACCACAATTTCGGGAAATTTTCCCGAACTAAGAAGGATTGGGACGAGTTCTGTTGTAAATTCATTAGGACAAATATTTATATTTGGTGGATATAGAATCAAGAACAATGTATCCACATGGTATAATGATATGATTGTTTTAAATACTATTGGATTATCATGGACAATTTATACAAATGCACCAAGTTCGAGATCAGGGCATACGGCCACCTTACTGGATGACAGAAGAATTTTATACATAGGTGGTTTTGATAGTAATTTCAGTTATGTGCCGATGGATCAGGTAAGTTTTAAGCAAGTTTTGGAACTTGATTTTTCTGTAAAAGCATATTTCACTTAACATAAATGGATGATCAAAAATAGATTTCAACATTTGACACGATTACTTCAGACTGGGATTTGCTCGTAGGTTTCAAATAATCATAATTGTTCATTCATCGAAATAATCAATAAAAATTCTTATTATGATTTTAGACAGCAGATGGTTCCGTTCCGAGCATCCGTTCTGAACATTCAGCAGTTTTAGGTAAATTTATATGAATTACAATCAAAGAATAGTAAAGAATTAACTAAAACAATTTCTAAAATAATATTTTCTTAGTATCGAAAAGTAATGAAATTATCATCTATGGAGGATTACTACAGGATTCAATATTGCCTACCCCATCACTTGCAATTCTTACAATTGGAGATACCTTTACATGGATTCAACAGGTTATTTATGGGAGTACACCTCCGATATTATATTCTCATACTGCTACATTGGTTGGAGATTCAATGATAGTAGCTTTAGGCAAGTAATCTTTTTTAACGAGATATCTATCTTCTTGAGAAATCGCACTCATAGTATATATCTAAATTTTATTTTTTAAGGAAATAAAACTGGATCGCAGCAAGTTTTGAATATATCTAATTTAAACATTTATATATTAAACACCACAAATCTCACTTGGGTTACAACGTTCACACCCCCAACTTTTTACCCTAACACACCATCGGACAATTCTTCTCCAAACGTGGCATTTATTTTTATTTTGAGTTTTATTGGGCTTGTAATATTTCTTGTTTTTTCTTTTATTACAATTATATGTTTGTATAGATGTAGAAGAAAAAGAAAAGTTGGCATTGCTACAAGTATATGAAGTTTTAAAAAAACAATAATAAAGTAAACTCTCACAATAGTCACATATGTATTTACTTAATTTTTTGCCTTTATTACTGTATTATATACACTAATATATGAATTTTTGCTCACAATATCACAATAGGGGTTATAAATTATTTGATTTTAGCATGTGACTGTTGTGAGGTTTACAGTATTCACTTTCTAATTGTTGAATCAAGCATCTGTTTTTCTCGATAAGTTACTATAGAATTATTTTATTAAATGAACTCAAAAGAAATATATAGTACATATCTTTATAATAAAATTTAATGAACTAAATCGATTTTTTTTATATCATTTTGATTGTGTGATGAAAAGGCAAACAATTTACTGTTGACTGATTAGTTAAAACCAAAATCTTAAGTTTACGTTGAGAAGTAATTAAACTGGCAAGTGCATTAGATTGAGTAGTAGAAAATGATTTTGATAAAATTGTAGAAAGAATTTTTTTTCTATCTATTTCATCATTTAAAAATGAGTGTGATGTCGGATCCATAAAGTTATAAAATTCATTTTGTAAAATTTTAGGTCCTATATTCAGTGAATCGAGCGTTAAATGTTCGATATTATTATAAATTTTTGCAAAAATTTCTATAATATTACTTAGCATTAATACATCTCCTTCTAATCGCATTTTTTTACAGCTCACGAATATTCCTTTAACGCTAACGGATGTTAACACACTAAAATCCAGATATCTTAAATCTGTATGATAAAAAGGAAATGCACATTTATATACTTTTTTCATATAAAAAACTTCTAATTTGGCACCTCTTTCAGAGAATAATTCTAATAAGGTTCTCAATACGAGATTCTGGAATTTAAGGTTACGACAACGATAATATTCAATGCACCAAGCTGATAAATCTTTTAAAAATATATCGAATTGTAACTCTTTTAAGAATGAAGGATAATCAAAAAGCTGATTATATTCTGTACGTTTTGAAAATTTCATACCAGCATCCAAAAGGAGCTGGAATTTTTCTGGATTTAAACAAGAAATGTATTTACTTATGGCTCCTAAACGAACTAGTGAATCTGGTGCAAAAACTCTTGACCAGAGGATTGATGTGACATTTATACACCAAAATCTGTTAACCAATAAACATGAACGAAGAGTTTGATATTGTTCATAAGGACGATTTTTGGGCTTGGAATAATAAATTGTTTGAAATATTTGAAGGATTATTTCAACTGGAAGGTGGGATATCATTGTAATTGTAAGAATAATTGTCTGTGTGAGAGTTGTTGCATGATCATCACTATTTATAAATATAATTGCCAAGATATATATATGGTATACAGTATGGCCAAGATGGCATGCCAAATATCAAGAATCTAAGCTGAGTGTTAATGATTTACTCAAGACAACTTGTGATAATTTTCCGTAGCATTATAGTGCCAAGTTATCTTAGAATTATTATTGATGCTACTACGTTCTTTGTGCATGTAGCACGTTAGATATCAAAACGGGTGAAATGAATCCTAAAATAAGATACTGCGTATAATTAACAATATTGTGATACGATATTACTATTAAAAGAACGCGATACATGTAATTAATTATGTGCTTGGAATAATCCGATCAAAAGACAAGAACTTTTATACTATAGCTAAAATCCAGTGTTGTAAAAGAATACTAGTTTGGGAGTTTTTTAAAATCTTGACAGAGATTGTCTGGAGCATAGCGACGGACATTATATGATTAGGTAAGGAGATATAGTAGTTACGTTTTTGATGATTTACTGTTAATAATATCAAAAACGTAACATTAAATTTGGTGTCTGTTTTTTGCTTCATTACTTTATTTGATTTGGTTTGCATCAAAAACAAAACTGTATAACATGATATGCTCTGGACACAAATGCCGCGCATTAACCTAGTTATAGGTGATGGCGAGTAACTGTACTAAGTAATAAATTTTAAACATATAGAACTTATTTATAGGTTAATAATAAAGCTTGGTAAACGCTTTAAAATTTAGATCAGTATTAATTATAGGTATATTACACCCAAACCAATCAATCTTTTGGGTTTGTTTCGATTTTCAAACTGAACTCGTATCCAAACCTGGTTATGAACTTTTAATCAAGTCCGGTTATATATGCAGACTTATTTAGTCATTAGCTACCGGCTCAGTTACTCTTTATTCTATAATCCGTTTTTTTTATATAGAACATAACTAAGTGATGTCATAAATCTGCAACTATAAGTTAAAATTTGATCGGAAAGTTCACGAACACGTTCGAGTTTGATTATTCCTTACGCTAGAGATTGGACCTGTTTGCAAGACCGTTATCGGGTCACATTTCTAATAACCTGAGTGACTCGGTTAAAGCGTTGGCTCAGTCGTCCTGTAAGAATACCGATACTACAGTCAGACCTCTCTAAATGCATTGCGTCGGGACCATAGTAAAAATTGGATTAAACATGCATTTAGAGAGGTAATGCATTTAGGAGGTAAAAATCTATAAGTGTTATATTAGTTGGGCCCAAAAAAAGACATGTATTTAGAGAGGGTTTTCATAGATATGCATTTAGGAGGTTGCATTTAGGGAGGTCTGACTGTACTAAAATAGCTTAAATCGTCTGATTTTAATGGTTGGTACCATTATCCAGCCTGGATAAGTGTCAATTCTATTTTTTAGCAAATATCCATATACAGTAAATAATTATTTTCTTATAACTCTTGTTTCTTTGCCAATAACTTGGCTGTCAGTATTATTTCCCTGATATTCATATTTATTTATTTTTTATTTGCGTCAACTTAGTCAAATAACGATAGAAATTATTTAACACCGGGCGAATTATTCACCCTTAAAACAGTGTTCTCAAATGACTTGAGATGACTCAAATGACCCAGTAGCCTATTGGTCATTAGTCATTTGAAATATGCAAATTAAAAAACTCTGGCCCATACTCCGACTACCAATAGCGTTCTTTTGTCAATGATTATAAATTGTGTTTAAGGTTTGGAAAATTTTTATCAGTCCAAACTGTATAGTTGTTAGACGAAACCATGTGATTATAATCATCACCTGTCATAAAATACTAAGACCTAAAAATTTAATCTAATTTTTATTAAGCTTTGATATGACATTTAGCATCACATGGTTTCGTCTAACAACTATGTCCAAACTTGTAAATTTTATAAAATGTTAATTAGAAGTCAAAAATAATCAAATGTCGTAAGTCATTTTAAGCCATTCGATTTTAGTCATTTGCTTAATTTTAAAATGACATGTGACTAAATGACCTATAAGATTTTAGTCATTTAAGTCACGTCATTTCAAAAATCAATTTGAATTTGTAACCTATCATTTATAAAGTTAGGGTTAAGGTTAAGGTTGAGAAGAATTGCGTAAAGAACTTTTTCTTTGTTAGGATCTCGAAGGCGGCCCGGAAATTCGTAGTACCCTAGTCAAAAGTTATGGTCATTGTGAGATTCTACTCGAACTATCACGATCCTTGATAACATTATATAATTTTTTTCTAAATTTGAGTCAGTAACTACCTATTAAAATCAATGAAATTTTTTTATTTTAATTCTATGAATGCGATAGGTAGTTATCGAGATATAATTGCCCAAAGTTTAAAAAATTTAGGCGATCAAAACAAAAAATTGCGGCTAAGTTTTTCCCAACCTTTGAGCGATATATCTCGATAACTATCTATTCAAAATTTTTTATTTAATTATATGAATTTATAGAATTAAAATAAAAAAAAATTCATTAATATTAGGTAGGTAGTTATCAAGATAGCACGTTTAAATTTATTTCCAAACTTTGAGCGATGATATCACAATAAATTTTTTTATTTTAATTCTATAAATTCATAGAATTAAAATAACCAATTTTCATCGACATTAGATAGGGCGTTATAGAGATATCGGCATTTAAAATTCAAAAAATTTTAGATCATTATCAAAACAACTGGTTAAATTCTTTCCAAACTTTGAGCGATAATATCTCAATAGCTACCAACCAAAATCGATGATAATTTTTTATTTAATTCTGTATTCATAGAACTAAAATAAAGAAATTGTTATCGATGTCAGGTAGGTAGGCATTGAGATATCTTTGCTTAAAATTCAAAAAGTTTTAGACAATTATCAGAATAAAGATCGCGGCTAAGTTTTATCCAAGCTTCGAGTGATGATTTTTCGATAATCACCTATCCAAAATCAGTAAAAAAAAAAATTTTAATTCTATGCATTCTTAGAAGGATTTCCATTGATATTAGGTAGTTAGTTATCGAGATAACTTCGTTCAAAGTTTAAAAAAAGTTTAGACAATGATCAAAACAAAGAAAGCGGTTAGTTAAGTTCTTTCCAACTTTGAGCGATGATATCTCGATAACCACCTATTTAAAGCTGATGAAATTTTTTTATTTTATTCCATGAATCCATAAAAAAAATTTTATCGATTTTAGATAGGTAGTCATTGAGATATCATCGTTCAAAGTTTAGAAAGAATTTAATCACGGTCTTTAAATTAAATTTTTTTATGAGAATATCTCAATAACTATCCGCCTAACAATGATGAAAATTTTTTTTATTTTAATTCCATAAATTCATAGAATTAAAATAAAAAAATTTTCATCTATTTGAATAGGTAGATATTGTGATATAATCGCT